CATTCTCCACCTTAGCGGCAGCCGCCGTCCACGATCGGGGGGAACCACTGGGCCTGGCGCGAGTCGGTGGCCTCGTATTTATAGAGCGGAGCCGCGCGGTGATTGGTGCGTTGCAGCGCCCGCCCCGCTGCACGGCAGAAAGGTCCCTTCGCCCCGCTCATTTTGTGTTTCTTAGGAGTCAAAAAAGCCTGTTTTTATCAGAATTTCCGCCACCGACCCCCCCACGGTTCACAGCGGCGTGGAAAAGACAGACTGTTGTTCCCCTCGGCAAAGTTTCCCTTCGAAGAGGCAACGGGTGAGTTAAAAAAGAGGCGATAAACCCCGAGTCCTGGACCTGGACAGACCTGGGGAGAGAGAAACTTTTGTTTTTCCTTTTAAATAAAGTCCGCGACGTGGGCAACTAAATCTCCAAAGTAATTAATTATTATTCTTTAAAGGGTCTTCTCTTAATCTGAACTGAAAATCGGGGATTTGAATCGATATTTTAACCGCAAATTGGTTTCAAAGAGGAGGAAGTAACACAGGCTCATCTCGAGCACTGAATATGGATTAGAAATTAGCTGCTTTGTCCAAAATCCTTTACCCCTTTCAAAATAACGGAAATAAATTAAATTAGTGCATTATGCAACAAGGCGAGAAGCAGATTAAAGTCCTGTGAAGGGCTGTTGGTGCCCCAGAAGGAGATGACTTTTTACACCACAGCAGCTTGTGCTGTGTTGCTCAGCGTGCACAATACAGACATGGTTCCTTAGAGCTCTGCTACAGAAATACTGAGTTTTCAAAAATAAATTAGGTGCCATAAGAACTTAGCACGGCCAGTTTTTGTTAATAATTATAATCGGTGCCCTATTGCTTTATAATTCAGCAGTCTTTTTATTTTGATACAGTTTGGTGAAAATCTGAGTCATCGTTATCTAAGGAGACACTGCTGCAGCTGATTTTTCCATACTTCTACACTGTAAAACTCGATCATGTTATTAGTTAGGGCTCCTCTTTCACAGTATATTGCAAAATATTTGATTTTTTTTTACTGCCCAGTGACTGATTTCTGCACTGGAAGCAATATTAAAAATACCTTATCCAACTGATGTTACGCTGAAATGACAGGCCGCTAGCAAAAGGGGGGCCAGACTTCCATCTGCACTTTACCAAGACCACACCTAAATTAAAAATAAACACAATTTATTTTTCAGAACATAGATAATTAACACCAGTATTCTCTGATATTTTCATAATACATCGTCTACAACCCTTTGTTTTGCCAAAGGCCTGTAAACTGTTGGTTACTGCTTGCTATTGTAACTGGCAATGGAGCTAAAATGTTGTACAGTGTACAATTAAAATATTTTTTCTTTCTGAATATATAATTATTAAAGTGTGTTTATTGACCTATAACCACTGATTTTTCTGTTTCTATTTCAACGTTTGTGGTAATGCTCAGCACTATACATAAAGTAGAATCAAAACTGGCAACAGCCCTTTGTAACTTCAAATTGCCTGTCCAGCCACGAGTTACTCTCAAACCCATTCAGCTTTCAGGCAGAAGATGGGCACGGCAGCTCAGACAAAGCCATGAGAGAACTGGATTAAAAATTAATAATTCCGAATGCCTATTGTTATGAAAATTTTAAAAGACGACATCTGTAAGGTCAAATGGTTGTTGGGAGGGGCAGGGTTGTTTTTAATGACGTCAGTGAGTTACCTCAACTGCACATAGGGCTAAGTTGATACAAGAGGCCCTGCTGCAGCTGTGGGTTCCTTCTCACAGTAACCTTCAATGTTTGCCCTTTCTCACCCCTGCCAGAACAGAGTGATTCCTTTCGCATGGAATAATCATCATTACATTTAGCACGTATTTACCACCAATTAACAATTGATAACGTTTTGTTTTTAAAAAAATCAATCAACCATCTTTCACAACAAATGGCTTTGTTGGTTTTTTTGCATTAGGATCTACAGCTCTTTTTATGAAGAAGTGGGTGGCTCTAAAAAGAGCCTTTGGGTTATTTTCGAGGTGGGAACACTCCTCAGGTTTGTTTTACTTGCTCTTCGCCTTGTGGCTGTCGGTCTTCTTGGG